GTAAAAAAAGAAGGAGGAGAGATAAGGACGATAGATGTTAAAGAGGAAAGAAGGAGCAAACCACACCAGAGCACCCGCCAACCACCCACACAAAGAAGAATGAAAAGAAACAAAAGGCATAACAAACAAAGTCTTGACCCAACGACCAATACATATTTTGGGCTGTGCGTAGAATAACTGCAAAAACAATGTGTTTTTCTTGAAAAGATTTAATTCAGGAAAAATTATTTTCTTCATCCCAGGTACCGAAAAGTGTGCAGACCGTTTGGCAAACAGGTAAGCATGAAGCAAGCTAAGATCATCTGTGTCTGTATAGCCATTTTCTCGGTCGTCGTCTCCATCCCTTACGCCATCATCAACGGAACGCAGACGAGACCAACCCCTCGGCCAGACATCGTGGGTCACGAGTGCACGACAGACGACAGTTTCGTCGACACCATGTGGCCAGTGGTCAATACGGGCTTCTTTCTACTTATTTTCTTGTCCAGCTGCATCCCTCTAGTCGTGCTGTACTGTCTGGTCGGTGCCCAAGCTTGGCGACACAGCAAAGTGTACGGGGTCACCACCTCGCCTAACGCACACGCAAAGGTCACTTCCGGTTCGAACTCTCAGTCCAGCTCTTCCGGACCTGACACGAAATCGACTGATGAGAGTACGTCCAGCGGGGCTGGTGGTAGGGCAAAAAAAGAATCCGTTGAAATGAATAGTTTAGACAGTGCTGATGGGGGTAATAATGCGAGAAAGGAAGCTCTGAATACAAGTGAAGGTGACAGTGCTTTTAACAGTCTCGGAGGAGAGAATGACGCTGGTGAAAATAGCGGTCTGGGGAAACCTGGAGAATGGAAATTATTAGAAAACAATGCAGAACGTTTGAATGACTCTGGATCAACTGACTTGTCTGTCAGTCAGCAGACGGAATCAAAACAGGTCTCTGCGCCGACGGGTAAAAAGATTTCATTTCAACACAAATCCTCACAAGAAGGTTGTATTTCGAATTCCAACTCGTTGAGCACAGAACATGACAAAGGTTCACGCAATGTCGGTGTGGGAGAAACGAAGAAAGGAGACAATAGCTTGAACAAAGACGATTCAACCGGTAAAAAATCGAAATTATCTGTCAGAAGCACAAGAACATCAGTCATCAAAATACTGTCTTCTATCCGCAAAAAGAAATCATCAACATCAACGCTCGGGCCCGCGCAAAGAAGAGGTATTGGCAGAACTACCACCATGCTCATCATCATCAGCGCGGTCTATATCATTGGCTTCCTCCCTCATCTTATCGTCATGTTCTTCAAATTTACCTCCCCGGAAAAGTTTGCCGCCATGGATAGCGTGGGCTTGACCTTCTATAACCTTTTCTTGAGGCTCTACTTTCTGAACAGTGCGGCCAACCCGGTCATTTACAGTTTGTGTGACGTCAATTTCCGCACTCAGTGTGTGCAAGTTTTTAAATTCAAATTCAAATGCAGAAGAACCTAAAGTTTTTCTCCCTTTTTATGTAGAATTTTTACCCCCC